AGACAATTAGGTATGACTTCGCATAGTCAGTAATGCCGCGTGGCACAGGGCACATCGTTGTTGGGGAATCCCCAACAGGGGGTCGTATTTGGGCTGAGAAAAATTTATTTTGATAGTTGATTTTTCTCGCTTCACGGACGTTGTAAAGGGGGGGGTCGTACTTGCTCATTGTTGGGAGGGGGTCGTATTTACTTTCTGGCCTTTCTAGGAGTGGTGGGAGTGGTGGTTGACTTTTCGTGATTTTCCTGTTTCATGCGTACTATCCCGTAAAATCCCCAACCAATGATGTGCCGTGGCGCGGCATCCCCACCATTTTAACCTGAACTATTGTTTTTTTTCTTCATAGTTTTACTCACAATAAAAATAGGTGTTTAGGATCACTTTTTCCGTGTATTCGTTGGCAACTCAAATGTGACGTACGGTGCGATATCAAAAGTATTTGACGTGCTCACTTGAATAAAAGATAATCTCCTTTTGTCCGATTGTGTTCGAGTCACAAAGCGCAACTTGATTACCACAGCAAGAAGTACACTCCTTATCCCTGCCAGAGTAGGCGTGGCATTTGAACATGGCACGGAACTGGTTACTCGTGGAATATTCCAGTCTGGGACAACTGTCATCTTGTTCTGTGTTGGACAGAGACACGACAACAATTGTGTCAAGATGAAAATATCTCACCAGAAGCATAGACACCTTCAGGTTAAGTTGAAACATGCGGCCACGCCTACCCGATCTCAGGGATTTCGAGTATAAAATGACGCGAAAAAATGAAATGGGAAGAGTTGGCCTAATGAGGGCACGTTGAACAAAAGGTGGACTCCTCAGCTTGCGCTGCCTTCATTGAATTTCTGAAGATAAAGCTTCACACAAATTTCGCGATGTCTCTCGCGTTCAAGTAAAGCAGCAGGATTATGTACCTGGATAAGCAGTACGTTTTTCATTCGGCAGCGTAAAAAGCACGACCACTTCAGCGTAGCCTTCACTTCTTAGGCAGCGCTTCGTCTTCGCCGCTCGAGAGAAGCGCAACGTACAGCATCACTTTGAAAAGGTGATGAAAATGTTCCACAAAGTTGAGTTCGCCGTCTTGACCTTTGCATCCAATCACTTCAGGAAGTTATGAGATAATGGAATCGGCTTTTCGTCGATGTCGTGATCATTCGCAGATCATCCATCACTGTACGAATCCCATCAGGGTGGTCGTGTGAGGGGTATGTGACAAGACCATCGTAATATGCCGCGTGGCGAGCGATGTCGCGAACACAAAAGACGAGTTATCCTTCCCGGCCGTTCGGAATCCAAATGGTAAAAATACGGGAAAGATCATGGGGCGACATGGAGTACAGCTTCCACGTGAATTCAGCTTCTTGGCTTCAATCGACAAACTGATGCGCATCGAGAATCTGTCCTCGACAGCCGCACGATGCGCTATACGCGACGACGCGCAAATTATGATTATCTTTTCCGTGCATTTAGCAACTAGTGGGAAAAGGCTCGTAGTTGGCCTCAAAAAAAACTTTTTCCGAGGGATGATTCATTCGGTTCACCTCCATTTCGCACATCCCCATGATGTATCTATCCTGCTTGAAAGCATTCTCGCCAGCAAATCGGTTACCTAGCAACCATGTCGAGAAGCAAGGGCCACACTTCGCTTGCAGTTCGGGTTTATATTCCTATCTATTACAGCACACAATCTATATGTCGACGGTTGATTTCTTCAAACGCTGCTACAACTGTGAAACACATTATGGTTTCAAGCGATCCCTCAGAATTTTTGGAAAACTGCAACAATGCATCCTTTCTGAAACCTGAACTGCTTCTTCCATTGGAGTATTGCAGCACAGCTCCTACCATTCTCTTTTTACTTCATATCCATTTATTAAATTTACATTTCGCATATACTATTCAACTATGATTCTTATCAATCACAGCCGAAACAATTTTGTACAGGATGATATTAACGCGGAAGGGGAACATAACAAATTCTTTATTTAAAAGCAAAGCCCGCGATCATTCGCCATCACAGATAGTGGATTAGGGGTTTGCATATAGGCGACAAGGTTCTTAGTAACTCGATACTAGAAGAAAGCGAAAAAAACATGCCAACACCCCTACTTAGAACTCCATTCCAATCCCACTCTCACCTCATGGCGGGCCTTGAAGGCGGAGTTTGGAGGCGGAGTCACTGGAGAAAAGGAGGCGTCACCGGACCTATATTGCGCTATAATGTCCCTCCCCTACATATTTTTTTTGCCGCGAAACCAGGTGCAGGGTTGTTCGCCGTGGACCACACTACCCTCCCGACGCCATTTTTCCAACTTCAATACCTGATCGCGGACCGTGCCTTTAGGCGCAAAAAACCATCTTTTTGAATTCCATTTCATAGAAAATTTTGTAAAAGATCATAGCCGTAATGATTACATAAGAAATAAAATAAACTGCACTGTAAAAGCTTAACGTAACCGATACCAGTGTGAGGGCAAATTTTCCGCCCTCTCACTGGTATCAATCATCACAATCGTCGTTCTCACACGATGAGCCTTATGGAGGGACTTCTGAAAGACATTTTCCCGTGACTGTATATTTTTAATGTTGCTTGTATATTTGTAATAGTTACCACTGGAACTCGAAACTAATGATAGCTAAAAGGTCAAATTAGTTCCAGTGCTAATATAGAAAGAACGAAATGTTTTACTTACTAATA